TCAAAGAGAAGAGAGAATTGGGGGAAGAGGACGGGCGGGGGGGGGGGGAAGTGCAACAATGAATGAACAGAAATCTAAAGTCTCTGTAAACTTTAAAATTAATAAAAACCCAAACCACCCTCCCTCCAAATTAAAACAAAAAAGCCCCTCCAAAAACATACTACACAGCAGTAGTAACCAAACAGGCTTGGTACTGGTGCAATGACAGTCAAACAGACCAATGGAACAAAATTGAGATATACCAGAAATGTACCCAGCTATCTATGGTCACTTGATAGTCAACAAGGAAATCAAAGCTATCAAATACGGAAATAACCACCTCTTTCTTCAACAAATGGTGCTGGCAAAACTGGACCTGCAGAAAGCTTAAACAGGATCCACATCTCACACATTACACAAAAATCAACTCAATGTGGATCTGACCTGGGAGTAAAGCCCAAAACCATAAAGTTCATAAGAGACAAACTGGGATTAAGCTTAGAAGTGTTAGTCCAAGGTATAAAGAGACTGCCAAATACAGCCAGAAATACACAATCTAAAGAGGATAAAATTTATGAAAAGACCTTCAAAAGATTAAAGATTTTGTGCTTCAAAACCTTTTTTCCAATAGGGTGAACAGAAAACCCACCAACAAGAAACAAACATTTGATAATACCATCTCAGACAAGAGTCTTATAACAAAAGTTTACAGAATACGCCTGGGCCTCCACAAAAAAAAAAAAAAGACTGATAACACAATTACAAAATGGGCAAAAGACATGGAAAGCATTTTCACAGAGGAAGAAATTAGAATGGCAAACAGACAAATCAAGAAATGCTCAAAATCACTGGCAATAAGATGTAAATCAAAACCACAGTGAGGTACCATCTACTGGAGTCAGCTCCAGTAGCAGTGGTAAAGTTTAACAGGATAGCAAATAATAAATGTTGGAGAGGATGTGGCAAGAAAGGAACTCTTATACATTGTTGGTAGGAACGTAAAATGGTACAACCATTCTGAAAGGCAGTTTGGCATTTCCTCAATAAGCTGAATACAGAAAATCCATATGACTCAGCTATTCCACTACTTGGAATATACTCTGAGAAAATGAGAACTGAGGCACAAATGAAGATTTGTACACCAATGTTCATAGCAGCAATATTCACCATCACTAGAACTTGGAAACAGCTCAAATGTCCAATCACAAATGAATGGATAGAGAAATTATGGTACATTCAGACAATGAAATTACTATGCAGCACACTGGAGCAATGATTTTGTAAATTACTACCTAATTTGGGAGGGACTGGAGAGCATTATGCTGAATGAACTCAGTCTCACATGGACAAATATTGTATAAAACCATTATTGTAAAATGGGTATAAGGATCCAAGGGGGGATGGGGGGGAGGTTAGAAGCAGAGGGATGAGGATGTGTGTGTATGGGATTAATCATGGCGTTTCATAATTTGATGGGTGTGTAGGGAAACTGGAAGAATCTGTTGTCAAAAAAATGTATTGAAATTTTATAAATAAACTAGTATAAAATAAAAAAAGGAGAAAAGAAATAAGACTAAACTAGAAACATACTACACTGGGAAAGTCTGTAGTCAAGGACCCCTCCAAATTATTGAGGGGCAATGATGTCAGTTTGAAGACTAAGGTGTGGGTGTACTAGTACAGGCCATGGTCTTTTCAGTCACTTGCTATGCATCTGAGAGCTGGACAATGAATAAGGAAGACAGAATAATTGATGCTGTTAACTGTGGTATTAAAGAAGAGTACCAAATATCCCTGGAATGGCCAAAAAATGAACAGGTATGTCTAAGAGGGGGTGCAGCCAGAGTTCTCCTGGAGGGTAAAGACAATAAAGTTTCTTCTCACATACTTTGGGCATGTTGCCAGGAGAGCCTATTCCTTGGAGAAGGACATATTGCTTGGAAAGGTGGTTCGATTGATGCAATGACAACAACAGGCTCAAGTGTGTCAGAGGTTGTGAAGATGGCACAGGATAGGACAGGGTTCAGACATGTTCAAAGGGCTCCTATGAGTCATACACACCTCAATGACACCTAACAACCATACCCTCCATATTTTATTGAATCCAGATTTTTAAAAAGGTACTTTGATGATACTCAACATTTTTAACAAACACCATCTAATACTTCTTATTTTCCAGAAATTATGCTATTAAAATTACACTGCCAGTGGTATTTTGGAGATGTCTCAATCTGAAAGACTGGCAGCAGTCCTGATGGTCTATCCCTTTTATTCATTCTTATTCTCTTCATGGAATATATAGTACCCTTTACTAACTGTACATTGTGCTTAGGCACCATCAAGTTGGCTCTGACTTACAGTGACACTATAAACATTAGAACGAAATCCTGCCCAATCCTGAGTTGTTCTTTCTCAATGCATCCACCCATGTCACTGGAGGTTTGCCTATCATTTCCTGACTTTCTCCCACTTTTCCAAGCTTGATGTCCTTATCCAGGGACTGGCCCTTCCTAAGAACATGCCCGAAGTACATGAGACAAAGTTTCCAAAGAGCCTGAGATTTTTAACAGCTTCAGTTTGCTTGGCTCCACAACACTCTTGTACCAGCAGCCAGGAAAATCTAAGATGAACTGCAATGGGAAAGTCTGCCGTCAGGGACATGTCCAAGAGTGCTGAAGAGCAAGGATGTCAGTTTGGAGACTAAGGTGCACATGATCCAAACCATGGTCTTCCCAATTACTTGTTATGCAGCAGAAAGCTGGACAATGACTAGGGATGATAGAAGGAGAATTGAAGCCTTTGAGCTGTGGTGCTGGAGAAGAGTACTGAATACACCATGTAATGCTAGGAGAACAAACAGGTTTGCCCTGGAGAGGATGAAACCAGGCTGTTCCTTGGAGGCAATGATTATGAAGCTCCATCTGACACACTCTGGGCATGTTGCAAGGACACTAGTCCTTGGAGAGAGAGATACTTGGGAGGGTGGAGGGACAGTGCAAGAGAGGAAGACCCTTGATGAGATGGATTAACTCAGTTACTGGGGTAATGGAAGTAAGTGTGTCAGAGACAGTAAGGTTGGCTTAGGATAGACTAGGGCTCAGAGCTGTTGTATACAGAGTTGCTATGAGTTGCAGGTGACTTGGTGGCACATAACAACAACAACAAGAAGCAGCATTCCACTTGAATTTCTTCTAAGACAGATTTGTTTTTTTATTATCCATTTAAGATTCTTCAAAAACCTCAATTTTTCTTTGATATTTCTTATTTAGTGTCCAATATTTATATGTATGTGAAAACTAAATTTACTCTATTTTGGGTGAGACACATCTTCATCTTTAACACACTTTCTACATTTCTGCTCTTTAGCAGTTTAAGGAGGCTCTTTATATTAATTTGTTTTGCTACTAAATGAAATAAAGTTTTAGCCACTAACTTGCAAATGCCACTTATATTTTGCTAACAAATTAAAATAATTATGGAACTGGTATATGTTATCCCTTTAAGAATGCATTTGTATACTATAATACATTCATTTGTATCAAACTATTCAGTCATACATGCTCAAAGATTCTAGAGATTTAATAAAGTGTTATACTTAAAAAAAACCCCAAATGAGTTAAAAAAACCAGACTGCTTAATTCTTCTTCTTCTTCTTTTTTTTTTTTTGGTTCTTGCTATGTACCATCAAATCAGATCCGACCGGCATAGGAGGAGACTGCCCCACCTTCTCCAGTGGAGCATCTGGTGGATTAGAACTGCGTGTCCTCAGGATTGCAGCACAGTTTCTTATCACTAGGCCACCAAAGCTCCCTTCTAATACTCTCATACAAATTGAAAAATGAGGCTAGCCACAAAATTAAAACGGCTTAAATGAAACAATAAAATAATCAGGTTCATTAGTTTTACTTTATATCAAAATGAGGAAAACACTGATAAAAATTTCATAAAAATTATTTCTCTAAAGGAACTCTTAGACCATTCTGTTCCTATTTATGATGCTAACTGTAGCCTTTTATGAAACGGTAACTTGTGCCAGCCACATGCCTGTGAACATACACACACAATTTGTAAAAACAGTTACAGAAGTTGGTAACCTTGTATATCTTCAATCAATTTTGAAATCTGGTTGCCTGTAATAGGTCACAGGGTGGTGCATATGGTTTGTGCTATTGTGGTTAGGTGCCATCATACCCATGGGTACTAACTGGTCAAAATTTTGCCCGATTCCGCACTATTCTCATAATCTCTGCTATCCCTCTATCTACTTGTTCACCACTCATTGTGCCAATCGATCTTGCCAAAGGTCTTTCTCTCCTCTGCTAACCTGCTAACCTGAGGTTCCTCTTTAGGGACAGGCCACTTGATACCATATTCAAAGTGTGTAAGATGAAGCCTTCCCATCACTGCCTCTAACAGCACCATGGCTTCTCCTCCTCCAGGACAAATCTGCTTTGTTAGCAGTCTATGGTATAATCAGTATCTTTGCCAATACCGTGAACGATTTGTGTATGAGCCCACCTAATGGAGCCATGAAGAGAGGTCTGGTGATCTGACTCTGCACAGACTACAGCTAGTCAGCCAGATTGAACCACGTGGAGTTGCCATTAGTCAGCACTGACTCTGTATCAATCACTTTAAAAAAAATAAATTTTTAAATCTTTACTAAATTAGTCAATTCCTCAATGTTTGACAAATACAAATTTTCCTTTCTCATTCTGTGAAAGATCATCCTTTTCTAAGTCCTTCTTTTCCTTGTATTCAGAATCTCCATTTAAATAACTGGAAAACCCCCCCTATGTGCATGCTTCATTACTTAATTACGTACGGAATGAAGTTCAAAACTTCTTTGGCTTAAATTTGTATCACTTTATAATCAGAAACAACCTTCTTTAATAGCTGACTTCTGACCCCCAAGCCACATGTATATCCCGACATGTCTATCAGTTATAGATTGATTTTATTTTCTTTCTTTTTTTTTAAAGGAATTAAAAACTTTGTTCAATTTTACTAGGCTTCATGACATGTCTTACCTTGGATTCTTGACTCTTTCTTTTTCTTTGCTGATTTCTGTGTCATCTTTGTTCATCTACGTTTCCAAAGACAGAGAAAATGTAAATTGATAATTTAAATCACCATGTAGTTTCATTTTTTTTAGTATTAACTATTTCAAGTTCTTTGTGCTGTCATACAAAATGTACTAAAATTAAATGCAACGCTTTCTTTCCCTAAAAGTTGTGACTCTAACTTTTCCTATTTCATATATGTCTGCAACGACTTTGTTTTTAAAAAGAAATTATGCAATACTTTTACTTATCTTTTTATTTTAAAAACCAACTCTATAACTTGTTAAGAGAGATCCATTATGTTCTTTTAGTCTCTCCTTTGGATTTTAATCCAGTCCACCTTGCTGAATTGTGGTCAAGTGTTGTTTGGTGTTATCAACTGAGTTCCTACTCACAGCCTTAAGAATTCTTTAAGAAACATCTGTCAAATACCAATTTTCCTTTCTTATTCTTATCACCAAGGAGTTCTGGTGGCTTAAGGGTAAGGAGTTACACTGCTGACACAAAAACATATGGTTTGAATTCACTAGCTGCTTCGAGGGAGAAAGATGGGTAATCTCTTCATGTGAGATTAACTGCCTCTGAAAACCCGTTAGAGGGCCGGCTAAGGGTAGGTCCGACTCAGCGGTACTCACCAACAACCACCCTATAAACAGCAACCACCCTTTTCTAATATATGGAGGACAGGCTTTTAATTTTATGCAGTGTCTCTGAACTCTTTGAACTGGGAAACAAACATCCTAACTCCAAAAAAGCCCAGTATTTCACATAGCATTAACCTTTAACAACAGAATGCAGGTCACGCCTGTATTAAAATGTCAATCTAAAACATGTTTATTTTCCATCTATCACTGACTTTGGTCTAAGTTAATTTTTTTTGTCTTTCAGTTAATCTTTCAGATTATGTCCATAATTCTTCCTGATGTGTTTGATCACATTACTCTCCATAACTGAAATTCCTTTCACAGTTTTATCTTCATCTGATATGTAAAAGGGAAAACTTAGTTCTATGAAAGAAATACTCTCCAATAATCTAAGCTTTTGCTTTTTTCTCTCCTTAACTACAAATCTCTGCAGTACTATCCTCATTTTATTTTTGGTATGTAGTACACAACTTTTCTCTCCTTTCGCATGCCAGCACATATAGTTACCAGCTTCCCAGTAAACAAAAATGCTTCAGTAATCTCTTGATGTTGCATCTGCACATAGAACAATAGAGCTGCCCTACGTGACGTGTGCCACTTCAGTCTTTTTTTTTTATAAGTCGTTTTTGTTAAGCATTTTCCTGAAAACAAGAGGAATTAAATTTCTGGCTTTCTCAAACTAATTTATGACCAATACATTTGGACTTATCAGGTGCAAATGGGCAAAGGAAGAATCTTGCTTCTAATTTTGCATATAGGTTCCAGTTTCTTCTGAACTAAGAAATTGAAACAAAAATTGTACAGAGTAGGAAAGGAGAAACTGTTAGCCTGGGCCATTTATTGACTGTAAGCCTGAAAAATTTAATCCTTCTGTGACCTAGTTTCCTTACCATTACAAAGTAATACTGCATACATCACAAAGATTTTATAAAGAGTAATTATTTGTACAATCTTTAGATTAGGGTAAACTATATACTAAATAATATAGAAAACTAGTCAACCAAAATGTATTGAGACAGGATTTCTTCCAATTCTTCTTTGACAATCATCTATTTAAAAACATGTATTCCAATAGTATCAAGAAAGAACAGACTATACTTTCATTGTTAGGTGCAGCTGAGTCAACTATACTTCCTATAAAAAACAGATAAAAACCTTATCTTGGTTTTTTTTTTGGTTCAGATCTCATTGCTTTTGTTATTGTATACTCTCAAGTCAGAACTGATTCATAGCTGACCCTCCAACAGGTTTTCAGAGACAGTTAACTGTATGAGAGGAGAATGCCCAGCCCCCGTGGAGCAGATGGTGGCCTTGAACTGCATGCCTTTGGGACTGCAGCACAGCTTCTTACTACTAGGCCGCCAGAGCTCTGTTCAGACTGCATTAGGCAGTTTTTACTATTTCCACAGGGTATAAACTTGTGTAGAAGCTACTCAACAAATAACTGGACACTATTTTAACTCATATTCACAGTATCAGACTTTTCCATAGGAAGCTATTAAAATTCATATCCTTCCTCGAGTTATTTTCTAAACTGTTTATTTACAATAACACACACCAAGTATCTAGCACAGACTATCCTATCACATATATAGACTCCTTTTCTGGATCTACCATTATTCTAAGCATCAGAAGTAGGGAAAAGATATATTGTCCCTCTTTCAAGAGTTAGCCAGGTAATAGACACACAAGCAGGAACACAAACCAGAAAATGCCTGCTGTAATATGTACATGTATCTCTGTGTGTGTGAGACTATGACTCACAGCAACCCTATGAACAAGATCTGAATCTTGCCCTATTCTGGACCATCCCCATGAAGTTAGGTATGCTTCAGGCCACTGTTTCAATCCACACAAAGGGACATTCAACGGCTAATGAAGAACCAGAACAAGGAGGATCCTCAAACTCTCCAGAAGCTCATGTTTCCTATCATCTTGAGTTCTTTCCTATTTTTGTCACTGACATTCTATGGGAAACAAAGAGTAACCTTCCAATTTCACAGTTGTTACATGCCAAAGGAAACTTGCACTATAATAAAGGTAGATATTTTCAAGTATCTCTTGAACTTTTAATCTAATCATGGATTAAAAATCAGTATTTACATAATTTTAAAAACAATATAATCACCTGATCTAGTATAATGGTTAGCATACTCAAATTTGCAAGCCAAAATTCAAAGCACTCTCAATTTTTGTCTACTTAAGGAGATTTATTCTCAAAAAAAACCCTACTTACATAGATTTTAAAGCATTCATACCTTTTGCTTTTTAGAACTGGAAAGAGTGAGGTCGTTCTCTTGTTCCTGAGAGTGTTCATCTCTGTCTACAAGGATACGTCTTTTTTTAGGGGAATTTACAATATACTCTGAGGGCATCTTCATACAAGTACTGGATTTATTAATGCTCTTCTCACGGTTTATAATTTGAGTAAATTTTTCTTTTGTCTTCAATTGTAAAGTTTTATTTCGGTTATATAGCATTTGGCAAAGGAGAAAGGAAATGCTTAATTCTGCATTTTTAGCACATATAATCTTCATATAATCAATAGTTTTCATAACTTTCATAATATGGGCCATTTTCCCTAAATCTTTTCGAGGAGCAGCCACTGTATTTTCGAGCAGTGCAGAAAACTGATTATAGTTGTATTCTAACTCCTTCACAGTGCTTCCATAGTTTACAGATGCTATACACGGCATGAAGTTAATGTATGTGGAAATGGAACACTTAGACTCTTTCAGGAGTTTTTTTATTTCTGAAATTTCTTCAAATTCTCTTGATAGCAAATGAAAAGCATATGAACAATTAACAGCTTCATTACACTCAACATCAAGTTCTTTCTTGAGTTCAGATATATCAATCTCCACTGCTTTCCAAAGGTAATCTGTGGAATTCTCTTCAAGAAATGAAAAACAAGCCATTTCTTCTTGGCAGTGAATCAGATCTGGTAGAAGTGACAAATCAAACCAAAGCATACCTCGAAACTGCTGCTTTTCTAGTTTCCTTGACATTGAGTTTTGCAAGAAATGTACAGTTTCTAATGTCATGACTATTTCAAGATACGTTTCAACAGCTTCAGGCTTTAAAATGACAGCTTCATGCTTATGATTTTTCACAATGTCCAAAACATTATCTTCTGTGATAAAAATACTGTCTATATTATTTTTTTGCAACATCGCAAAGTAATTTTTTAGATTTTCCAGGTGATTAGAACACTTCAAAGCGAGTTCTTGTAATTTTTTCAAGTCTGCAGATTCAGCTTGATCTAATATTTCACTTATACAACAAATATCTGGATGTGAAGGCAAAATACTGGTCAGTCTATAGCTTTCTCTTTTTACTGCTGCTTTATTAAATAGCGTATCTGACTTCTTGCAAGCAATCATGGCATCCTCCAGTCCACTAATGGAAACCTGTTCACTACTTAAATCTTTAGACAAAGTATTATATATTTGCTGCATCTTTGAAAAAGATTTTTGATTAATTTCCAGTAGCATCTCTTTGTACTTTTTTCGTGAGCATTTTTTCAGAGTTTGTTTTTTCTCCTCCCACACAAGACTTTTGGCAGCATCAAAAAAAATATGTTCCAAACCATAAAGAGATATTTTAATACTTACTGCTTCACTGCTCTTGATAAAATTAACTTTTGAGGAGATCATTTCTATAACGATCCACAAGTGGTCTTGTTTCCCTGGATACGAACTAACTTTAGGAGGCTTGCCATGGACATCGATCAGCTGTAAAGTGTATTTTCTTAAAGCTTCTAGGTCTCCTAAATTATCACCAAAATTCACGCCACAGGTAAATGGAATGGAAAGAGAAAAGTCAAAGCAATCAGAACAATGATTCATTATTGCTTCACACTCTTTAACCTGGCGTTTGTATTTTAAGAATGCATAGTATGAATTTTCCTCCTTTTTTGTTTCTTCCATCAATTCAATTAACTGATCATGGTATTTCTGTAACTCACAGAATGCATTATATTTTAACCTTCCTTGAAACCCAGGGTAAAAATTGGACTGTTGTTGATAACCACGTGGTCCCCCAAGTAACTCACTGTACAGCGTCTCATCATACCAAAGCAGGCTTCGGAATGTTGGCTCATCCCCTAAAAGTCTTTTTTTGTTTTCAATGAATTGAATCGTTTCCATCATCATTTGGAGTTCTACCAAAGAGTCAATAGCAGATGGTTTTAATTTACTTTTACAATTACTCCACTGGTTTTGTTGTACCAGTAGTTCTCGTGAAACTAAGATTTGCTCAAGGGAACATTCTTGGTATTTCTCAAAAGCTTTAACAAAGGAAGGTAAAATACTTTGACAAACCTTTGTTTCTTCCTGTAGAATCTGCAAAGATGATGCTTCATCTGCTCTCTGCAAAATCTGAGACAGCTTAGTTATGTCAGAGCTCTCCACTTCTTTTGAGTCACTAATGTATGAGATAGGCTTCTTCTGAAGATCAGTGATTTTTGAGGCTCCTGGGTGGGTATGCAAAGTGGGTGTATTGTTAATGCCTATAGAGCCTGGTTTGAAATTACATGTTATTTCTGAAAGCACTCTGGAATCAGACTGAAAGTTGCTAACTTTAGTGTCCTTACTGTCCTGTCCTTTGTTAAATGGATTAGGAATGGCATTATTCACACAAAATGCCTTAAAAAAAGTGGAAATTTTATTGCCTAGATGTGACTCAATCAAGTTCTTTTCAGTTGTTTTTTCCCCTAAGAGGGAGGGTTTATCTAAGATCTTTTGATTTTTGTACTCAGTCCTACAAGATGATTCTTCTGCCATGCCATTTTTGTGGTATACATCTCCAATCAAATCTTTCACTTTTTCTGTTTGTCTAATACTCCACATTTTTCTGTCCTGAACATTTTTCTCTGCAATATGCTGTTTCGAAGACAAAGCCTCGGTATTCTGTGTTAAAAGCAGAGAATTTTCATTAGAAAATAATGTCTTCGCATTTTTTGCACAACTTTTAGTATCTCCATTTACTGATGTCAGGTTCAAGATGGAATTCTGAGAAACATCTGAGCCATTCTCATGTATCCGGGTGCACTGCTCTACCTTTGGAACCCCCTTTCCATCGCATTCTGGCTGACAATGGGATACAGCAGTGGGTGCTGCATAAGAATCCATAGCCAAAATCCTCTGTTTATCCAAATAGCGTGTTGAAGATTCGCCCTCAGCAGCTATCATTGGAGCAGCTGAAAACTGAGGAATACTATTAGACTTTCTGCTTGCTTTCAGAGTTAGGTTTAATGGGTCTACAGGAAGGTTTGCTGTGGTAGTGTTTCCTTTAGCACCCTCACCAGGAGCTGTACGTTTTTCTTTCGGAAAATTCATTTCCACGCTTCTTTTACAATCCAGTAAAAGATGATCTGGTTTGCAAGTATCAACATTCAAACATTGCTCTCCATTTGCTTCCAAGACTGAAATAAGTACACCAGTTTTTGCCCCTGTGTGAGCTTTAGGAGTTGAATCATTATTTTTGTCCATACTTACACACTCATGTTCTTTTAAGCAACTTAAAGATACTGACTTACTTTCTTTTATTTCACCAGCTATGGAATTGACTTCTTTTGATAGATCCTTAATATTAGTATGTGTTGAGTGGTTCTCAAGGTTTTTGTATTTGCTAATATTAGCTAAAAAATTAACATCGACTTGACTTTCTTTTTCAAGAAGCTTATCTTGATGGTCTGCTGAAAATAGACATGTAGTTTCTCTAGAAAAAGGTTGAAGTTCTGAAGGTCTTGAAAGTTTCATACTACTGTTATTATAAGCTGAATGTTCTGCACCTCGGAAGGTTGACTTGAGGCCTAACTGTGATTCAGGATACTGCTCCTCACTAGAAAATTCTTCCACATGAATAGTTGTACAACTTTTGGAAACACTGTTGACCAAACTTTTCTTAGAAAGGTGTGCTGTGATATTCTCTCTGTTTCTTCTGTTAGGCTTGGGCTTTGACACACAAGATAACGGTTTCCCTACGCCCAGGGCTAACGCTCTCCTCTCATCCTCTTTGTCATTTTTTCTTTTTGAAAAAAAATGTTCAGTGGAATAGTATTTTCTTTCACATACAGAACTATAACCTTCAAGGTCACAACTCTCCCAGAAATTATTGCATATTATTGCGTATGATTTTGGCAACTGGCCTTTTCTTTTTTCTCCTACTTTAGCTATTAGTTCCAAGGATGTGTACACTCGTCTGTGAGCTTTCTTTAAGTGAAGAACAGCTCTGTCAAGTCTCCTGGAAAGACGTCTGCTTTTGCATAATGAAGCTTCACTATGTAAAATATCCAAGACACTACGAATATACTTCTCGGACTGTGCAAAAGTTTTAATTCGTCCTTGGGATAATGAAGAAAAACATTCAGAGGAATCTTGGCTAGTTAGCCTCCTCCTTTTTGGGTACCTTTCTTGATGTCTTAATTCTTTACGTTCTATGTTTTGGTCTTTACAAGATGACTCCACTTTTCTTTTGCTACTTCTTGATTCCATGTGCTTCTTACTTTTATTATCATTATAGTCAGTTTTTGATTCTGCAAAAGAACCCCTGCTTTCATTATTTGTGACATCTGAAGTTTCTGCTTTTTCAGACATGTGATTCGTGTGTGTGTTCTGACTTAATTCAACAGAACGGGAAGTTCCAGATTTACCCATTAGTTCTAAGTCTTGCATTATGTTAGGAACTTTATCCTCACATGGATAATCAGAATTTTCACTGGCAGAGTGCGAACAGATTCCTAATCTTGGGCTCTTTTCCTCCTCCTTTATTTCTGGTTCTGGGATTACAGTTGTACGTTTGTAAAAATTATCTTTCAATTCATAAGAATCAGCAATAGGGTTGAATCCTGGCCTAAATTTATTAGTGACACTAATTTGTAGATCTGGAAGCAAAACTGGATTAAGAATCTCTGCTGTGGTTTTCGGAGCAGAATAAAAAAAACATTTACTTTCCTGAGTGTAATGCTGAGCTTTAGCTTCTCTTCTTGTGAAGCTTGCCAATGTTTCTGCATCATAGTTTTTGCTTCCTAATAGAAATTCCCAGTCAATACGAGACTCCAGAGCTTCATATGAGGTCCTTAATTCTTCACTAAGCACATTTTCACAGCTAAGAGGATCGTGCTGACAGAGAAAAGCATTATCACACTCTTCTGTTCCCACTTCAATCTCATTTTCCATATCCAAATTTTCAATAACAAAGTTCTTATTTATTATTGAGGGATGAATAGACTCTTGTACTTTATTTCTATCAATTTCACAATCAGAAATCCTAGAATTTATGAGCAAACCAAAATCTGTACTTTCAGAACAAGTTTTTTTAAACAAATATCTTTGGGGAGCATCATGATTTGTGCATAAAGCAGGTACAGTAGCAGCAGCAGTAGCAGTACTAGTTTGTATTTCAACATCTGAGTCTGCACACACTGAAGAACTTGACACTTCAGGCCGCACTGTTGAAGCCAAATGCTCGAGATGACTTCCATTATGTTTATTAACTTCTTGGTTTAAGGCAGGGACACTATCTTCATTTCCTTTTGATGTAGCTTCTGTTGGTAAGTAATTTTCTTCCCACATCATGCTAAGTGGAGAAAATTCTTTGGATATCAGCATTTCTTCATTATTGCAATTTTTATGTACCCTCTTTTTTTCTACGTTGGAAAAAATCTTGTCTATATTGAAAAACTGCCGCTCATCTCTATAAATGTTCTCTATGATGTCCTCTATAGATGAAGCAATGTCTTTCTGTTTAGTGTCACGTTGGTTTTCTTTTTGTTCCTTGAAATAAATTTTCAGGGATATCTTATTGTTCGGCTGTGTATCAAAGAAAAGACGATCTTGATTGTCTTCAATAGCAGTATCTTTTCCATTTTTCTGATTGTCCTCTAATGACATTAGTTCATGTTCATTTTTCCCATGGACACATAAATGTTTAGTTACACAGTAGCTGAAATTATTAGCTGTTGTTTCAATGTCACAGGATGAAACAACTCTATCAGTCTGCAGTTCTTTGGTCTGGGAAATTTCGGTTGCTTCCTGGAAAACGTCAGTCATCATGCTAACATAATCCTGATTTGCTTTTTCCCTTTCAAGTTCCATTTGTTTTTGAGAAATGACAAAACTTGTATGAATGTTAGTCTTTTCAGACTCCACACAATGTTGTGGGTAATTCTGCAAAAAACGCTCTATACCTGGAGCAAGATTATTTTGTAATTCCACAGCTTGATCCTCCAGTTCATAGTTATTCTTTGTGGTAGAGACTGGTATTTCTACCTCTTGACTAATTAATAGCTGATCACAGCTTTTCCTTGAAGAACTGAGACTCTTACTTTCAGGAAGTTCTTGTTCTTGGTGCAATGAAATATAATTGTCTATTTGACTTACTTTTGTTTTATTAGAAAAATGATCAGTTTCCTCTAACTGTTGCTTTTCTCCACACACGGAATTATCTTTTGGATCAGTTTTAAGGCTCTTTATATTTCCAATATTTTCAATATACTTATCTATGTTTTCTTTATTTTGAAATAGAGAAACTGTTGACCTCTGATAACCACTATGATATTCAGGTTTTAAACTAGTAGACTGTAATTCTTGAGACATATAACTTTTGTAGTCATCTATATAATTATTCACCTGTTTGTAAGTGACCGGTGGGTCACTACTGTGTTTCATTAAAAGTGAGTTGCTGAGTATTGGTTGGGATCTGTGGTCTTTTTCCTCACTGTATTTTTGATTCTCAACTTCTGAAACTATCTTTGACAAAGAAATTGGGAAGGAAAATTGGTCTTGACCCTTACATTCTTCTGCCACTGTAATTTTATTGGGAGCTGCACAGTCCTTGCAGCATGTGTCATGAATCTGAGATTGTGGACCATCAAAAGGAATTTTGAAGCAGGGGGCATCAAAACAATTAGTAAGAAGAGCATGATTATCATGTAGAATTTCAGATGAGGATACAAAATCGGTTGATCTGGATGACGAGTCTATTTCTGAATTAACAGAATCTAAGTTGTTCTCAAATGCCAAAACCTCATTTAAACCTGTTATATTACTCTGTTTTCCCATGCTTTCTTCTCTCTTCAACAGTCTTGGGTCTTTGATGAGTTTTGAAGTAATAACTGTGCTTGAGCCAATATTGCTGTGAAAGGGGAAATTAGCAGAAAGACCACTTAAAATATTTTTAAGTTGAGACAAATTTAGTAAGTGGTCATCATTGGCACTTTCTCCAGTAAAACTGGGCATAAATAAAAGGCCTGAATCATGTGTGTTATTTTTTTCTAAATTGTGCTCTGTCTGTCCACTGTGCTTTTCAAGTACAGCCATGTTCCCATTTCCCCCATTTATACATGATTGAGAATTATCCAAATTAGGTCGATTTATCTCTGAATTTAGAGAATTGCAAGAACAGTCTTCCTGAACAATGGAATCTACAGGTTTCCTGCAATGTCTAAAGATGACAGGAGCATCTTTTCCTTTTCCAATTCTTCTGGCCACAGTGCAGTTATTCACAGGGTATGTTCTTTCTGTGTAAGTAAAAAAAAAAAATAAGAAGAAAATATGAAGAAAAAGATTTCTACAGAATCTCTATTAGTATATGTAAACTTTCATGACTGATAGGAACTGAAAGTTTATAAAATAATCCAGTCATCATTAAAATGTGCTCTTAGTAGGAAACTAGGAAAGGAAATGAGTAAGTAGTAGGTCAATAAAACATAAAGCAAACAGTGTGAAGCTGTCTTCTAGACTAATGACCTTACTAAAAAGTATTTGCCATCCCTTCGCCCCGCCCCCCCGCCCCACCCCGAGTACACTTCTCTATGCAACCTTAATTCTGGATTCCTGTGCTAACCATAATACTCAATCATGGGGGAATTGTATACTAATGAAGGAATTTTTTTCCCTTTTTCTTTTTGGAGATGGGAGCGAACTGGTGGGGAGGGGTAGGCAGGGAGAAAAGTGCGGCAATGAATGAATGGAAATCCAAAACCTCTGTAAATGTCTATTAAAATGAATTAAAAAAAGTATTTGCCAGTAAAGAATTTAACTCTCAGTAAATAATAAATAAAAATATTATTATAGGAACGAAAAATATTACCTACAGACTAGATATTTCTTACATTAATATTTAATAAAAGCATTAATCTATGCATTAGGCATAATTATCTTCTATCTTCCTTTTCCCACACTACGCTCCCCCCAATTTTTTTTTTCATTCTTTCATGGAGGAACAACAACAACAACAAAAAAAGAGGAGTGGATTTTTATAAAGGAGGGTCTGTTATATACTGTCAAGTAGGAACCAACCCATAGCTGACCCTCTAGTGCATTTTCAGAAGCAGTAACTACCCGGGAGGAGACTTTCCAACTTTTCCCAGTGGATCAGCTGGTGGATTTGAACTGTGTGCCTATGGGTTGGCAGTGCAGCTCCTTACTACTGGGCCACCAGAGCTTCCTCTGAAAGGGGGAAGGGAAGATGAAAAAAAATCTACAAAATCCTTAGTAAATAAAAGTAAACTCCTTTCCCTATATTTTTAGATATTATGTAAATATATTGGTAAATAAACCCCTGAAAAATGAAGCCATACGTAAAGTGAATACCCCAGAGGCAGGGAGGAAAAAGAAACACTGACATGGAGGAACATGAACAACCACTGAAGAAATTACAAAAGATGGAAGAAGGAACTGAAACTATAAAGAGGTACAAGAATTTAAAAAATCATCACAAGATAGAGAGGGGACTGTAGACAGCACAGTACTGGAAATAACAGAAAGGCATGAAAATAGAATCCAGAATATCAAGACTGAAATAGCAGGAGTTTTCAACATGATAGACAAAAAAGCTGAACAAAAGAGATGGAACAGTGTCAGTGAGCTGGAAGACAAGAACCTCAACAGGAACGAATTAGAATATGGCCTGTCAATAATCACACCTAATGTGAATGGCTTAAATGTTTGTTCTAAGAGAAAAGGAATAGCAGACTGGATAAAAAAAAAAAAAAACAACACAACAAAAACCCCATTGATATGATGCCCACAGGAGACACATCTAAGAAACAAGGGGGAAAAAGCCAGACTAAATATCAAAGTCTAGGGGGGAAAAATCAAATAAGCAAATGGTTTTCACAAAGAATCAGGAACGGCAATACTAATCTCTAGTTAAACAGACTTCATGGTGAAAACTACTACAAAAGATAAGAAAGGGCACTATGTGGTGATTAAAGACACAATAGATTAAGAAAACTTAACCTTGGTAAACTTTGCACCAAATGATAGACCTACAAAATACTCAAAACAACAATTAACACACTTGAAAAAAGAAACAGACTACACCACAACAGTGATAAGAGACTTTAACATAGTACTCTAAGCAAAGGATAGGTCAATTCAAAAGAAACTTAACAGAGATGCAGAAGTTCTAAACTACACAATTAGTCAACTAATTGTTGGGTGTATTTAAGGTACTGCACCCAATTAAAACTCAATTTCTTTTCTTTTTAAGTGCACAAGATACAGTCTCCAGAACTGATCATGTATTAGACCACAAAGCAAACTTCAACAATTAAAAAACACAAATAATACAAAAAATCTGTTTAGACTACAATGGCATAAAACCAGAAATTAATGGTAAGAGGATAAAGCTTATAAAACCACCCACTTGGATGCCAAAAACTTTACTAAAACATGAATGGGATATGGAGGAAATAATAAATGATATTAATTTTTTTCTTGAAACAAATGAAAATGTAAGTATGACATATAAAAACCTCTGGAATACAACGAAGACAGTTCAGGGAGCAGTTCACAGTAATAGGCAAGCACATAAAAATGGAAGAAAGAAATAAAATGAGCTAACTCAACACTTTCAACAAACAATTTAACCCCACAGCCTCTAAAAGATAGGAGGTTATAAGGACAAGAAATGTAATCAATGAGATAGAAAACAGAGCTGGTTCTTTGGAAGACTCAATAAAATGAACAAACCATTGGCAAACTTAATAAAAGAATAGAAAAAGAAGACACAAATGACTCGAATAAGAAATTAAAATGTGACATCACAACGGGACCAACTGAAATCAAATTGGTAATAATGCAGTATAGAGGAAATGGATAAATTCCTAATAACTGATACTCGACTCAGATTGAGAGGGCCAGATGTAGAACACTTGTACAGACTTATCACAAAAGAAAAAACTGAGGAGGTCATAAAAAGACCTCCCCCTAACCCCCAAAATGCACTGGCCCAGTTGGCTTCATGGCTTAATTCTACCAAACATTTAGAGATAAACTAAACCAATTCTACTCATGTTATTTGAAAACAAGCAAACAAGCAAACAAAAAAACCACAACAGAACAAGAAAGAACACTCTTAGAATAATTTCTATGAAGCAAGTATAACCCTAATACCAAAACCAGACAAAGATATTACCAAAAAAAGAAAACTACAGACTAGTAACCATTATGAATAGAAATGTAAAAATCCTGGCCAATAGTTTAACAGTGTTTTAAAAAAGAAATTCATCATGACCAAGGTTCCCCTTTAGAAGGAGAACAGACAAGGATGATACTATCACCACTCCTATCATTTATTTATATCGTTTTTTATATTGTTATTTATATCATTTATTTTTATCATTTATTGTTCTCCCTTGAAGCATATGAACCCAAACATCTAACCACAACTGAATGGAGAAATTATGATACATTCACACAATGGAAAACTCTACAGAACTCAGGAGCAATGATTTTAAATGGGATGGACTGATACAGTAACTAGGGCAATGGGACTTGGAGTGTTGGAATTAGTCACAATGGCTAAGGACAGGGTAGGCATCAGAGCTGTTGTTCACAGGGTTTGCTATGGGTTGCAGGAGACTCGACAGCACATAACAACAACAAACATGTCTCATATTCTTTTTATTTACTGGAGTATGTACAGTATAGTACAGTATGCTGTTTGACTTATTAATGTTGTTGTTGTGATGTGCCATCGAGTCGCTTGTGACTCATAGCGACCCTGTGTACAACAGCCCTAAACTCTGCTCTGTCCTGTGCCAATCGCACTGTCTCCGACACTCCCATCCTGATTATCCCAGTCACCGAATCAATCCACCTCATAGAGGGCCTTCCTCTCCTGCGCCGTCCCTCCACCCTCCCAAGCATGATGTCCCTCTCCAAGGACCGGTCTCTCCTCACAACATGTCCAAAGTATGTTAGACGGAGCCTCAGAATCCTTGCCTCCAAGGAGCCACCCGGTTTAACCCTTTCCAGGATGAATCTTTCGTTTTCTTAGCAGTCCATACTCTTCTCCAGCACCACAACTCAAAGGCATCAATTCTCCTTCTATCCTTCCTAGTCATTGTCAACTCTCTGATGCATAACAAGTGATTGCAAAGATCACGGCCTGTATCAGACGCATCTTAGTCTCCAGAGAGACACCATTGCTCTTCAGTACTTTGGAGAGGTCCCTAACATCAGACTTTCCCATCGCAATACGTCTTTTAATTTCCTGGCTACTGGTGCCAACGACTCAACGGCACATAACAACAACAACAACAACAACAACAACTGGTGCCAAGAGTGTTGACTGTGGATCCAAGCAAATTGAAGCTGTGACCAATCTCAGTCTCTTCACCATCCATCCTGATGCTGCCAATTTATTAAATAATTATATAGATGCATTTCCTTAGTTTTTAATAATTTTCCCAGCAGCTTTGATCTTCTGTGTGTATGTTTTGCAGTATTTTTTTAAAATGCATCTTATATCGGTTTGCATATAAAATTTGGATACATTGTGTTTCACACTATCCTTCATTCACATTGTATTTCATACAATCATTCCCATTACTTTTGTTTTGTAAAATTAACCACCATTATATTAAGCTAACCTAGTTAGCGATGCTACTGGCAGAGATTTTCAGTGTTGCTCATCAGAAATATGGCAGCTTCTGCCCTATTATTATGTGTGGTGACTTTAATTCTGTTCCTGGTTCTCCACTCTATAGTTTTATAAAAGATGGAAAGTTGAATTATGAAGGCCTTGCCATAGGAAAGGTAAGTACTCACTTTATTATTTGGGATGGACTTTGTTACATTGGTTATTATGATGTGAACACAGTCATTATATGACTGTTAAGAAATCCCATCTGGTTCAGTAGCCTATATAGTAAGCTGTAATAATTTTCTACAACTACTCATAGTAATTGGAAGCAGGAGTGTCATCTACTTTCTAAACAGCACACCTC